ACAGTTGCAGTCTGATCTGGACTAACTGCAATCGCTCTCAGAGAGACTGTTGAAAGTTTGCAAATAATTGCTATCCAATTTACAAATGCAGACATTTGCAGACCAACGTGTTCCATTGGGACTCGACTCTGGATATGTTCCTATAGAGCTCGAAGGTTGCTGAGCTCAAATGTGATAGTAAAATGTGATTATTATTTTTTATGTAGACAGCAACAGCAATTTTGATTTTCAACAATTTGCACACTGAGTCCAACTGAGTTCATTTCTAGTTTTAGGGTCACTCTTTCACTTGTTTCAGGTGGTACTGTGCTGCATAGGCATTTCTCATTCATTTCCTGCCCTCACAAATGTCCTTTTTCCGCTCATCTTTTTTTTCTGCTATGCTGGCTTTAAGTCTTTTGATTGATGACCCATTGATTGAGCTAACCTAAGTTACTCTTTGCAGTGTGCTTTCCCTCCACATTCAGCATACAGGATGTCTGTACGTGTGTTTGCAGGCTGCTGATATGTGATCCAATGTTGGCGCCGGTTGCCGTGAGAGAGAAGAAGAGAGGAAACGAGAGGAGACTTGACATCTTGCTGGACAGACGAACAGAACAGTTGTAGATTATTGTCGAGGGGAAGGCTTCCTTTGAGGAAAGCTAAAACGTTTTAATGAAGCACATAAAGAGGACAGAGCGGACTAGCAAAAAGATGAGAAAGATCAGTTCAGAGCACCTGAAAGTTATTGTTCTGGGCAGCGTTTCCTATTGGTGGGCTGGAAAAAGAAGGGAAAAGAAAACGGAAAAGAGAAAAAGAGAGGGTGGAACGTTGCCAGCTTGCCTTATTCAAAGAGTCTCTGTGTTAGATCACCTCTGAAGTCAAGCTTGGCGTTTGTTTTCCCCTCCTGATAGGCTGAAGGTGTTCAGGTGTGTCCAAGAAGGAGGGGCTGTTGTTTGAATTTCAGCCCAGTGATTGGCTGCAAGCCAGTAAAGGTTACAGGCTTTGTATTGGTTCAAAAATTTTAAACTTTTTCTTCTAAACCAGAGGCAGAAGAGAAAAAAAAGAGAAAACTGAAGAGAAAAATTAGCTTAAAGAACAACCTATAAAACGAACTGTGCTGGAATATAGAGAATTTTCACAACCCCCCCGTCTCCTTACAGGTTTCCGTCTTTTCTAATAGGGCACGTCCCCTGTGGTTGTGACATTTTAAGCTCTCAATTGCCATTCTCTTTAGTCATAAATAAATATAAATGCCAGCAAGATGGATTTATCTTCAGAGGGGAAGCTAAAATGAAAAGATGTATAAAATAGCGTTCTAATGTTAGAGAGGAAAGCGTGTGTTAGCATCTACCTTTCAGTGGGGGCTGATGGGGGGAAATGTGTGTGTGTGTTTCTCTCTGGTGGGCTTGTCACCTCTCTGAAAGCTGCCACAGATACAAATGTCTTGTTTGTTTTCTGTTGTTTTACTGCCCGCCCTCCCCTGACTAAACACCGGCGCTGGCTTTTACACTGTTCAGACAGTTGCCACCAGAGTTGAAAGGGACTACAGCGTGACCTCATGAGCACAGGTTCAAACTGTAAGGCTTAATAGTGCTACTTACTAGTGGTTGATGTAAATCACAGACGTTTGCATTTATGCGAGCATCTTGTTTGTTTTTGCACACATTGTGACCGTCACGGTGACAGCTGGCCACAATGTGTGTCAGCTCTCTGGGTTTGACACGACAGCGCCAACCACAAACACAGAGTGCGTGAGTTAGCGGGAACAATTCAGTACAATTCAATTTTATTTTTATAGCGCCAAATCACAACAAACAGTCGAGCCGCTTTATTGCAATATTACTGAGCTGGATCCTGCTGGAGGTTTCTTCCTAATAAAAGGGAGTTTTTCCTTCCCACTGTCGCCGAGTGCCAGTTCATAGGGGATCATCTGATTGTTGGGGTCTTCTCCAGGAGATAGACAGCCTTTCTACTTTTAAGAAAAATGTGGTCAGGGAAGCACACTGACTGTCGATCGACACAAGGTTTTTATGTGTATACATCCATGTGTGTGTGTTTGTTTGTGTGTGTGTGGTCAGTTGTCACCGGTGTGGCTTGCCTCACAGTTCTTTATCAGGTCTTATCACCTCTGCAGACCTCACCACCTGCAAAGCATGTGTGGCCCATTGATGAGTCTCCTTTTCTGTTGTTTATCTCTAATCTGTGTTTTTCATATTTATTGACGCTGTAAGACTGTAAAGGTGCAATAAGTGAGTCATAATGTAGCCTGAACGTGCTGCCTATCATTACTGAACTTAGCCAGTCAATCAAGCAGTGCAGAATATTGCCAGCTAATTAAGATAAGGGAACGTGTATATAATAAACTGTTTCCATCCAAAGTGGCCAGCAGCACGGCTTGCATGCTGCAAGCTTGTTTTTAATCAGAGGGTTGTCTATTAAAACATTGCAGACCTGTTGGCACCTATGTGTGACTGTGGTGTGTCTGTCTGTGTGTATGTGGCATACTTACGCAGAATGTGTTTTTTCCATGCCGTCGGCTGCCTGTGACACACCCTTTCCACAGTCCAGCCCATCCTCTGCATGTGTGTGATCCCATGTTAGCAGCTGGTGGGCTCTATAAATAGCCTGGCCTGAGATGTCTCTGGAAAACCAAAGGAAACAAACACCTTGTGAAACCTTTAAAAATGTAAATACTTGTTCTTGCATTATTTCTTGGCCAAAAGGTCATAATGAACGCAGAATTGTCACACTGTGTCGATTACGATTGACTATCCGTCAGTGCATGGCCGATGTGAGATTTGCCTTACAAATTCTATTATGTTTTCTGTCATGGTCCATCACTTTTAGACCCAGTGCCAGGCTCCCACAGCGCTCTTTGGTGTTACTGCTCATATGCCGCTCACACGGTCTAAGAAGCTAACAATTTGTAAAGATCTACCTGTTTTACCATAAGGGAAAACAATAAAATATTGTGTCTACACCTATTATGTATGCTTAGGCAGTTATTTGATGATGCCGCTAGGCCTCTCTGGTATAATGTCTTCACTTGGCACTGGAAGTGTACAAAATCATCAAGCAATCAAAGTCGAAAATCAGTTCCTAAAAGATAACTTCATATATTCTCTATATTTTATTGCATCTGTGCAGGATATGTGTATTCAAGCATACCAGGTGATGGATTTCTTGCAGCAAGTGAGATAACATTGTCCTCCCAGAGACACACTGAGAGGCAGGTGCTGAAAACTTTAGAGAAATAAACACACTGGCTAGCAGCTACTCTAGCAGCTAGCCTGTTAGTGCTGTGCTGAATGAGCACTTCCATTCCAGCACATTACAGCAGTCTGATAAAGAGCAGCTGCTGTGTAATTTCACTGCCCTGCAGAGTGACGTTAATGTGTGTCTACACTTGTGTGTTTGTTTTGTTTTATCCGTGCCGCCGATGATTCCCTTACAATCCCTGGAGCCCCAACGTAGCAGTTTCTCGGTTGCTTTGAAGTAGCCGACCCCCATGTTGCTTCCCATTGTGAGTTATTCGTCTGTGTGTGGTTGGAAATGACCTCCAGTCTGGTTAGCAGGCATCCAGAACTCGCTTGTCCGCACCCTGCTCTGACTGACATCTGTGCATCTTCATGTGTGCGTGAAGAGTTTTAAGTGCCTGAGATGTGATCTCATGCAAGCCTGAGAGTGACAGGGCACCTGTGGTCGGACCTCACCGTGAACCCGAAAACACATATGACACACTCATGTGCTCATGGACTAGCAAAGCTGTGCAATGCGACCCATCTCCCTTCGTAGCTTCAACAGTATTATCCCCCACCAGCAAATTTCATCTGGCCCCACCACCTGTTGCCTGCTGTATTTCACTCAGGCCAAGAGCCTTCTGTTTCCCTTCATAAGCAACAGAGCTCTGCAAGAAGTAGGCATGACCCTGGGGGCGGCAATCCTAGACTAATCTAATTACTCCGAGTCAAGGCTTGAATAAGATTGAGTCTACACCAACTTGAAATTTCTTAACTCAATCTAGCAGCAAAAGTGTTACACAGTAAACAAGTCAAGCTGTCAAGCAGTAGTGCAGATTTGGGATTGGGTCCAGACAATGTGGCTTAAAGGTACTCCATGTAGCTGAGACATACTTAATAGTGGCTCCCAGGCACAATAACCTGAGAAATTACAAATTATTCATTTTGCTTTTGAAAACAGTTTTGTGAACTTCTCATTGAAGAACTATTAAAAGTTCCTGAAGGGCAGAGTTTTTAGCTGCGCATTAATAAGCTGGCTAACTATTGCTAATAAAATTAGCCATGGATGACTGTCATTATATCTGATGAAAAAAAATACAATGCCTGTTTTCATCCCGCCCCACGGTTTATAAACTTGTACCAGAATGTAAGTGGAATGTAAATCTGCTGTTTACTCTTTGAGAAACATTACGAATTCATATGATGATGGCTAATTAGCAAGCTAACTATTGCAAAAAAAGGCTTGATAGCAATGTTCCCTCTAATTTTTCACGTGTATGAGCGAACGCACAAACTCCCTGAGCGTCCCTTGGACCACTGTGAGCAACAGCAGACGTGTGCACTGTGGTCACGCCAGCATCGAATCCATCCAAGTTACATGGTTTATTAAAATAATCAAATCACAGCATTTACATTTATGTTAGACTACTTTTAATTAAGTACTTTAGCCCACCTACAATGAAAATTTAACTTTTGTTCTGACCTTCTTCTGTTTTGATAATAAGTTTTTGTATTGTGTCTCATGTTTGTGAGCCAAGATCACTGTGAGCCTTAAGTTTAACCATGTAAACTGTGGTTGGGTTCCTTTTGCAGTTGTCTGTAAATTTGCTTGTCATTATACCTTTGTATGACTTCACTTCATTGCTTGTTATATCCGAGGGCTCTTTATTCCAAAAAGGTACATTGTTTTCTCTGAACTTTTTACCTTGTTAGACTTTTACTGTAATCTGGAGCTTTCTGTAAGTAAAGGCAAAATATCTTCCTCCTCTTTTTTTCCAGATGGTATCCATCGTGTTGTTGCCCTCTGCACACTGCGGGTCACTATCATCACTGATGACATGCTGACAAACAGCATCACGGTTCGTCTGGAGAACATGTCCCAGGAGCGTTTTCTATCTCCCCTGCTCAGCCTCTTTCTTGAGGGAGTGGCGGATGTACTCTCCACCAAGCGGGAAGCAGTGTTTGTGTTTAACATCCAAAACGACACCGACGTCCAAGGCTCCATCCTCAACGTAACCTTTTCGGCGCTGCAGCCCGGAGGGGCTCCTGGTAAAGGCATGTTCTTCCCATCTGAGGAGCTGCAGGAGCAGATCTACCTCCACAGGACTCGACTCAGGCTCATATCCACTCAAGAGGTAACGCACAGTCCTGAGGTCAAAAACATCAGAAGCATTAGTAGAAGAAATAAATGTAGCTAAAATTCCTTCTTCCATTCAGGTGTTGCCGTTTGATGATAACATCTGCCTACGGGAGCCCTGCGAGAACTATATGAAGTGTGTATCAGTGCTGAAGTTTGACAGCTCCCCTCCCTTCATCGCCTCTGACACGGTTCTATTTCGACCTATCCACCCCATCAACGGGCTGCGCTGCCGCTGCCCGGTCGGTTTCACCGGAGAATACTGTGAGACCGAGATCGACCTCTGCTATTCAGGGCCCTGCAAGAACAACGGGAGGTGTCGGAGCAGAGAGGGCGGTTATACCTGCGAGTGCCTGGAGGACTTCACAGGTGAGTTAAAAAGAAATAAACAAAGAAGAAGGTATTGAGTGATTCAAAGCTGTCAATCAGCTTGCCTTTTTTACCTAAACTATGTTGTGTATCCCCGATTACACATATACAACAATACCATATGAAAAGTCTATTATAAGCATGTGCAAGAGCTCATTTTGTTTGTGATAACAGTTTAAATAACCTGTGCAAAGCTGCTAAACCGCACAGACGGGTTGTAAAAGGTCTCACAGCCCTTTGTTGTAGCTTGAGGTTGACCCCAGTACAGAAAGGACATGCTTTGTAGCACCGCAGGTAAAGCCACCTGCTTCCACACATGCATACAGTACACGAAATGTATTGCTGGAAAGAGGTGTACACAATCCTCACTACACCAGTCAGACCAGCTTCATCTGAAATAACATTTCACCTGTTTTCCAAAACCACAGTAGCTTTAATTTCTTTTGACGAGTAAAGAGTACTGGCAAGTAAACAAATTGCCTGTTAATCCTCATATATCAGTGAGTCACACACCAAGACTCAACAGATCAGTACAATTCAAAGCTGCTCCTATCAATATTTTTCTATTAACAATGGGAAAGTTATAATTAAAAAAGGAATGACTTGTAGGGACAAATCCAGAGAATTATAACTAATCTCTGTAATCCATCTTGGCACTGCAGAGCATCTCAGCGTGTTTATGCTCATCTTTATTTTGTTTTTCTAACCTGTAACTTTTTAACAGTTTTATTTATGTAGCGTATTTATTTACACATAAACTCCGTGCCGTAAACACTGAATAACTTTACAAAGATCTAAATATAAGCTAAAATGTGCACATACAGTGAAATGTAAAAGAAATGTGAGGCTAAAAGGTTTAAGTGTTCTTCTGAATTAAGACACAAGTGTAATTGACTTCAGGTCAGAGGGCAACTTGTTCCAAAGAATAACACCGCAGTAACTGAAAGCACCATCAACACACTTGATGACCTGAGAGGTTGCGCTGGATTATAGACACTGAGAAAGCCCACAGTGTAGTGGGGGATCAGATCATTGAGTTCATGAACCAGTAGAAGGATTTTAAAGGTTATTCTGTATTGAACTGGGAGCCAGAGAAGTGACTTCAGCACTGGGGTAATATGGTCAAATTAGCATGTTCGTGTAAGGAGTCTGGCTGCTGCTTCATTCTGAATCAGTCTGAATGAGAAGTCATCCTACTAATGATCTGGGTAATCCTGCAAAAAGAGTGCTAGAATAGTGTATCCTGCTGGATTGCATGGAGTCAGTTTCAGAAGAGAATTTCCTAACGTTTTATATTTCTTTGAAAGTGGTACAAAGCATGAAAAACTGAATCATGAAGTCTAAAAAGAATCGAGCATATCAAACGAACAGCTGCACATTTCCCACAAGAGGTCTAAAATAAAAGGAAAAACTACTTCAGGTAAACGTTTGCTAAAAACAAAGTAACCACTGCAGGATCTTAATTATGAGACGTTTAGCAGTATACTAGCAAAACACAGCAAGCTGCCTGCTAACTTCAAACATGGACGTAAACAGTGCAGAGCTAAATATTCCAAATACTGAGATTACAAGTGTTTTGCAAGTGTTAAAGTAACTCAGTACTCAGTTAGTCGATGAGCTATGGGAAAGTTCGGAACCTTTCATCATTCACATTCAAGCACTTTGCAAAATATTTCCGAATATCAGTGATCTTCCTCCCATACTTCCCCCTTGTACATCTGATACCTGACTGTCTCCACTCTTCTCTCCCTAATAGAGCCTAAACGGGCTCTGACAGCCTCCTGCTTCCCACCCCTCTGTGTCTCCCGACGCTCTGCCTCCCCTCTCTTTCTCATCCTCCATCTTATCTCAAGTAATTACCTGATTATATCTGACTTTGTCACTCATACTGCTTCTCGCCTTCTCCTCCTTGTGCCCATGTCCATCTTCTCCACCCACCCATCATATTTCCTTTACCTACATCTCGGTGTCCCCTCTTTGAAGGTCACAGTTCAACTCCTGATACTCAAGGGCCATCAGGGACTATTATGGGGCTGATGACAAGGGGAAGGCCTGTTTTGTCCTCTTCAGGTTTCCTGCATTACAGGGAAACAGATCCTTATAATTCCCCCTAGGAAAAAAGGATTATGCTGAGGAGAGAAGGGCCATTACCTGGTTCCAAGCTGTGCAGTTTTGGGGGTCTGTGTGTGCCCTGGAAGAGTAGAGCTTGTCTAGACAGTAGATTGACACAAAACGCAGAATGGGACGCGGTGGCACCTATCACAAATATTATTACAGTCGGAAAGAGGCCTGCTGGCGTATTTACGTAGGAATTTTAAATGAGCAGAGCCAGGAAGCTGGGGCCAGTTGGCTGATTTTGGAAAAGCTAAAACCACATGGTCATTTAGAGGAATTTTCCCTTCCCGGACCTATTGCGAAATTAAATTAGATAATGTAATATATCATGTATTTGATACCACCATGCAGCTTCAGTTAAGCAGTTAGCATGTGAAGGAGAAGTGTATGAGGGTAGCGATAACCTCATGACCAATGGGTAGTCAAGTAAGTTTGACCAGGCCTTAAGCAGCTCTGAACAGGAAGCCAAGCAAAGCAGCCACAGATGGATGAAAAGGGTTGAGGCTACAGGTTTAACATGTTCGCTGATACTGCTAGCCAAGAAGTAAAACAATAAAGATGTAAAAAAGGCAAGATTAATCCACTCCATAACATGCCCCGTACCCCCAAAACCACAGCGTATTTATGATGTAAGATGGGGAATTATTGTTTGCTTTTCTGCAAAATTAACATGAAATCACACACTGCTAATAAAGTACTTAAATTTAGTAAATTTAGTATAGTTATTTTTTTGTTTCCTGTAAAAACCAAAGGTAGTTTCTAGTGTACCTACCTTTAAGTAGCCTTAAGTGTGCCTACCTTTGCTAAATAAATAAATTATATCAAAATTCTGTTTAATTGCAGGGGTATTATGCCTTTAGTTGCGGGCATATCAGAAAATGTTGCCAAAGTGACTTAACCTAAGGTTTATTATCAGGATGGTAAAAACAAACCGGAATGCACTCATCCAAAAGTGGATTTCTTTTGTTCCCAACCTTGAATCACTCTAAGAGGTATTTAACTGATCAGCTGTTATCTGATCGTTGTTCGGTTTACAAGTTTAAAAGTGCAGTTAAATATAAGTTTAGCCATGCACTGAGCTTAGTGAAGGAAAGCCAGCAGTCTTATCCCTGTCAGCTTGCTTTCTTTTTGCAGTCTTTGTCCCTCCACCGTGACTCTTTTTCGAAACTCTCTCTTCTCTCCAAACATGGCCAAATTACCTTCTGGCTAAGAAGTGTGCTTCTCAGAAAAGACCAGTAAACAAGGTTTTGTCAGTGTTATTAACTGTTTGGAGGGAGGCGTGCCTTTCTTGAACTGATGTTTTTGGAGGGACTTTAACAACAGAAAGTTAATGCCACGTTTAACGTGTGCATGTCAGTTGAAAAAATGTGCTTTGCTGATAATCAAAGGCATCTTGTTTAAACAACTGGATTCCTTAAGGCTGAGTGAGGTCTGTATTTCAGTCAACTGTGGAAGGTACGCTTCGCATAAAAGATAACATAATGATAACAAATTGATGAGACAATCAGATGACATTTATTATCATTGCTATATTGCATTTGGGGGTGGACCAAGCACCGGCAAGAATGGGAAATTTAAAAAAAAAAATCTCATGCAAGCTTTAGTTCAAAATTTTTCATTTTGCATCTGTTGCTGACACAAGAGCTTTCATAATATATTATTTAATTTTTAGTTATGCATTTCATAGTAATGCACTGAGGAAGTCAACAATTTGCATCCATGATGTCATTAAAATGTCAACATAGTGTTGGGGCCAGTGCCATCCTAGAACCCCCATTAGCTCCGCCCCTGGTAGTGCTGCAGCTGAGAAACACAGGCCATATCAATTAACAGCAAAATGTTTCTCACAGTAAAAAAAAGATGCAGAACAGCTCTGTGTAACTTGGTCCCTCTTTTTCTTGCAGGCGAGCACTGTGAGATTAATGCATCATCAGACCGCTGTGTACCAGGTGTGTGCAAGAATGGTGGTACGTGCATCAACCGGCTTGCAGGTGGTTTCATGTGCGAGTGTCCACCCGGGGAGTATGAGAAGCCCTACTGTGAGATGACCACCCGCAGCTTTCCTGGACAGTCCTTCATCACCTTCAGAGGCCTGCGGCAAAGGTTCCACTTCACCGTCTCCTTCATGTAAGTTTGGTATCTTTTGTGTCTACCTCTTTGCTTACTAATCACCATTACAACTGTCAAGATTACTGTTCTTATATGGCACACATACAGTTTATTATGGGAGCATGGTTGCCAACTCTCACATCTGGCGTATAAAACACACTTTTACCTTCAGTCTCACGCTCTAGTGCTGCACAAAGAGATCTCATGATAAGAGGAAGCCTAAAAAGCCACACCTTTATGAAAAAACAAACAAACAAAGGGTTTGTCATGTGCGCAGAAAAGTTTGTTTAACCTTTTAGCACCAAAAGTGGTCCAAAAATATCAGATCAGTGTGGGAGGGAAGGACATGCTTATTTTGCGGTTCGGACTCCTTCTGACATTTCTTTGGAGGTGGAGGAACACCAAAGTAATTGCTTAAAGGAGCTTCTTTGACATCTTTAAGAGTTCTAAAAAAATGTCTGTCCTCCTCCAGAAAGTCTTATGTTCGCAAACGCGCGTTGCAACTTCTTATCTGGTGCGCGTTTTTTATTTTGACAGCGCATGCGCACCTGCGGACCACTTATGTGCAGCCCTGGATATATAAAATGAATACATTCAATAGTCTTAGCCT